TTATTAATAGGTAAGCATTTTGCAAAGTGTTCATTATTATAAATGGCCTTTGAGAAGTGCCTATGGACCCGGAGACGATAAGTACAACCACTTAAACTGATTTTATCTCTCAAAATAATCGGTTTGGCTCTGTGGAATGTTTAAAGACATATTGGGCAAGCCAGATATTAGACAAATACCATATATGAGACAACACTATTTTATTTTTGCAGGATAGATAGAAAACTGGTTAATATTCAAGAATACTTAATTACAAGTAGTACCTATTTATCATCCTTTTCTTTGCTAAAATGGGAAGGGGGCAATAAAGGTAGTCTTCGACTTACAATCACAATGGAGCCCAAAATTTGTTGTTAAGTGAGACATTTGTTAAGTGAGTCTTGTCCCATTTTATGACTTTTCTTGCCACAGTTGTTAAATGAATCACACTGCAGTTGATAAGTTAGTAATCCAGTTGTTAAGTGAATCTGCTTTCCCCATTGACTTGGCTTATCAGAAGGTCACAAAAGTTAATCACATGACCTTGTGACACAGCAATGGTCATAAATATGAACCAATTGCCAAGCATCTGAATTTTGATCATACGATTATGGGAATGCTGCAAAAGTTGTAACTCTGAAAAAACGTTCATTTTTCAGTGCCGTTTTAACTTTGAATGGTCACTAAATGAACTGTTGTAAGTTGAGGACTATATTTATGCATACAAAGCTTCTTATACATGTTTATGCATATATAAAGTTTATACAATAGTTTAATATATTTGTATTAGATTTATCCATAAGTGTTCAATGTATACAGCTCATTCATAAATCAAAAGTAACATAAAGTACCCTATTTCACACACAAGCATGCCACTTGCTTTGGAAAAGGTTTACTGACAAGTAGTGAGCAGTCTAATACAAAGGCAGGCATACTCAGTGAGGATCAAAGAGAGTGAGGCTTACTGGTTTACTCCAGAGTCAGATGGAGTATAGGTTCAGAGAAGCAAATATATTACATCACAGCCTAAGAATCAAATACAAGTTGATTAGTCAGCCAGTTCATGTGAATGGCTAAGAGTCTTGAATCAGAGCAAGAAGCAAAGATATGAGAAAGCAGACCCAAGGTTGTAGAGCAGACATGTCAAACTCGCGACGTCACATGACGTTGCCGGCAATGGGGTGGGCGCGGCTTCTGGATGACGCATCCAGCCCGTGAGCCAGCAGTTTGACACCCCTGTTGTAGAGTTTTTCTCCAATGACAGACCATTTGCTAGTGGCTGCTGTTTAATAGACCAGATGCAGGTGTGGTTCGCATTACAGGCTTTGGCCTGCTGGCTTCTTGAGGTTGCCAAGCAGAGTGCCTCTGCTCTTCAGAGCTGTGGTGCATGCTGGGACTAGGTGCTCTGCCAAAATTTGACCCCCTCATCACCTGATTATTATTGAGGTTCTTCTGAGTCAGCCCCAGATGGCTGATTGTCTACCAACTCTTCAGGCTGGCAGTTTCATGGATCTATTTACTGGATCTAACTCTTCAGGCTAAATCTCTAACTGTCATGCCCTAGGACACAAATTTTGACTCTGGAGAAGCTGGTCCAGTTCAACCCGTAGAATGCCAGCCAGAGAATTGAACCCATAGAATGAACCTATAGAGACACCAAGCCAGGAATCACCTCAGGTTGACCAAACACAGGGACCAGCAGAACAGTGGGACTTGATGGGTAAAGCTGAGAGCAGAGCAAAGATACTCAATGTGAGTCCTTGCCAAGGAAGGGAGTAACTATCTTAACTAAAGACAGTTGTCTCCAACCTGATTTATGATGGAGCTCTGACCATATTTCCCATAATCTGACCCATTGGAAACAATTGTCTGCTCTCTTGCTCTGGTGTGTGAATTTTTGTAAATTCTGCATGTGTAAAAATCCTGAAACTTTGGCCTGATTTGGCCTGAAACAGAGCCTGATTTGGCTTTATGAACTTCCAACATATTTTTTTTTTATTTCTCTTCTCTGTGTTCCGGGTGAGTGAAACTGCCCATACAAACTTCCTTTCCCAGGGATCCTGGATTTACATTAGATTCCTTGTCTACTGCTTCTTATTCATCTTTGAGTAAATTGCTTTTTTCACCTAGTAATTGTGTGTGAGAGTTTGAAAACTGAAAGAGGACATTACTCTGAGGAATCTAAACCCACATCAGGCCTTCAATGTACTGGCCATAAACATATCTTTTCAACATTGAGATAGATTTCATAGGAAAAGCACAGAGAATCCGTTTCGGTTGTCTTGATTGATATATAATTTTAAAAAATTGTTTGAAAACCTCAGTGTCAAATTAATAATGTCTTTTCCCCAATATTAGGATATCACAAACACATTTTTAATGAGGCATTATTCTTATTGTGTCTCCAACAATACAATAATTTATTCAGTTTTATTCAGTACAGTTCTCTTCTGAAGTGAATGCGGTCTGACTTGATTAGTATCAGAGCATCGGTTTCTTTATTCCATTGAAGGGAGACCTGAAATATTTTCTTGATCCTAAAGCAGAGAAAGAGAAACGAGAATCCACTAGCACTGCAACCATCTCTCTGGATTTGCTTATTGCAGCTTAACTCCAGATTCATTGCAACATTTTTAGGGCTGAGGCAATATCCAAGGAACTCTGGTTAATAAAAAGGGGGTGACTTTACCTCTATGAAGCACCTAATGGGCAGGACAAGAAGTAACGGATGGAACCTGATCAAGGAGAGACCCAAGCTAGAACTAAGGAAAAATTTCCTGACAATGAGGACAATTAATCCGTGGGAATGGTTTGCCTCCAGAAGTTGTGGGTGCTCCATCACTGGAGGTTTTCAAAAGACAAACATTTGTCCAGAATGGTAGAGGGTCTCCTGTTTGAGTAGAAGATTGGACTAGAAGACCTCGAAGGTTCCTTTCAAACCTATCATTCTATGTTCATTACCTTTTAATAGAAAAGCAAATAATCAAAAATATTGTCTTTTGTTTAGTACATCATAGTTGTAGTTCTATTTAAATATTTTGATAGAGACATTAAGACAGTTTTCCATTGTTCAGATAAAATTGGGATCTCTATTTTATTTTATTCCATTTAAATTTGCATTAAAAGGTTGACCAATTAAAAAGTATTTTTAAAGACTAATTGTGGACTTTTTTGTGTCATAAAATTTGGCAATCATTTCTCTTACTTTACATGTAACGGCGAGAGGGACCTCGGAGTCCTAGTGGACAATCACTTAAATATGAGCCAGCAGTGTGCTGCAGCTGCCAAAAAAGCCAACACAGTGCTAGGCTGCATTTTTTGCTTGAGCTCTCTCATGATTTTCTGCAAGTCTGGTATGAATATAAATTGGAGGGAGGGGGGGGAAATGAACTTACAATGAGCCAAATCATCCATTATTTGTTTCTTCCAAGAAGACTGGTGTCTGTGCATCAGAACTCCCAAATTTGTTGAAATCGGTACTTAAACTGGCAGAGTCATAATCAAACCTCGTCTGATAGACAGTCAGATTTTAGTTAGAGAAGTACATTAACAACAGAATGTGGAACATGGAATACAGGTTTCTAAAATTTAGATTATACAGCTTCTAATGCACAGATGTCCTTGTAAGTGCAACATTACACGCCATACAGCAAAACACTTAGCACTTTGGCTTTAAAAAGTTTAATTGCTGCAAGCAAGTAATTGTTATCCTTACAGGTTGCAGCTATGAAAGCTGTTATTGTACACTTGCCTTGGATTTGATAGGCTAATTGGTTTTTTTCCTACTTCCCATTTCTTTTGAGTTGACATTTTCTCTTTAGTATTTTAAAGACGGTTGAAAATTTTTACTGCTAGCTCAGGCAGATGGCACTACTTCAAACGTCTCTGCTCCTGCTTATAAGTCTGTTTAATGTGAATGCTTTTTTATTATTATGGTGATATCATTTTTATCAGATGAAATCTATATAAAATACATTGATTAGTCCTAGAATTGCCATAAGATTTATTGCTGGTTTTATTGTTATTTGTAATTTTATATTTTGCAGTACTTTGGTTATTACATTCGCAGATAAATATCAATCAAATATATCAGTCAGATGATGATATAAAAATAGAAAAAGAGGAAAAAGAAGCAGGTCAAATTCTTCTCACTCCTTTAGTCTTTCATGTGGTTTTGTTTGCTTACCAGCATCCTCTATGTGACAGAAACATCTGTTTCCATTAGGCCACCCTCATGTGCAATTTATGCACTTTCTTTTAAACTAACTTTTCTATTAAATTATCTTCATTCTCACAAGTGAAGAAGTCTGGGTATAGAAGTCTCAAATAATCTGGGGGGCACCAGGCCAGAGGCAGCAGCTTCATGGCCTTTCCAACATCTTTAATGTTTGCAGAGCTGCTTAAGGGATGGACTGTTCCATATAAGAAATCTGAATTTAAGCCATCTTTTAGGCAATAGTTTTTAGAAAAACTTCAGAAAGTTTATATGAATAAAATATCAACGAATGCCTTTGGATGCTACCACAAGCTATTTACAGAAAGGGTGGGACACAAATTATGTGTAAGGAATTCATCATTATGCAAGTTGGCTTTCCCCCATTTTTCTTTCACATTGCAATTTCTTTCCTTCCTTTCCTGAAACTATTTTATTACGCATATCATCATATGTAATTATGTGTATTAGTTCATATAATTAACAGGTTTTCCAGCTTTGTATTCAGAGGTAATATAAATATTGAAATGTTCTGTTTTACTTAAAATAGCTTGGCTGGGCCTGTGCTATCTATGATGAACACAGATTTAATGTTCATTGATTAATTTTACAATAAACTATTTACTTTGTTCCATTTCTTTTAGGAAAGACAGTTGAATTAGATAGCTGCTAATACAACAGTCTTTTAAAAATTGAACTGTCAACAATGGGTACCCTTGATACTTGTTAGTAAAATGTTCAGTTATACTAGATAAGAGAATACTAAAACTCTTGTATTTTAAAAATTGCATATTCTTATGTTGTTTAGGATCTAGATTTCTCATCACATCCACGGGAGCCTTGTATATTATAGATGTACAGAATGAAGATGGATTGTATAATTACCGATGTATCACTCGGCACAGATACACTGGGGAAACACGTCAGAGCAACAGTGCTAGACTTTTTGTATCAGGTATGCAATAGACATTTTCTGGAAAAAAAAACACTTTTATATATTAAGAATACATTTTGTGTGTACTGCTTTAATTTGTAGATGGATATGCTTAGTATATTTTGTGATACACTTTATTTGTGTATGTAATTTGTATTACATTATTTGTAAAACATGCCAGACACTAGGGGCAGAATAACAAACCACGGGTCTTCAGATTTCATCAGTCTCTATTTCTTATCACTCTCAGTCAGCAGAGTTAACAGTCAGGGCTGCTGTACCCAAAATGCATTGTGAAAGGATACAGATTTCGCTAGACCAGGGGTGTCAAACTGCCAGCTCACGGGCCGGATGTGTCATGCTGAAACCGCGCCCACCCCATTGCCGGCAATGGGAAAAAAAGTCGTGATACATCGCGACACATCACACGATGTTGCGAGTTTGACACCCCTGGGCTAGATTATCCTTCTCAAATCTGATAACCCCCACAACACCTTGAAATGCACTTGGAACCCTAGTGGGAGCCAGGGCAATTCTGAATTGATATCCCATGGGTGAATTTTGATGTATCCATTCTAGACCAATTAAAGGTTCTGAATGCTTTTCAAGAACAGCCCTTTGAAAAGCACAATGCAGTAATCCAAATGGAAAGGAACTAAGGCATGAGTGATTATAAGCAAAGCCTTTCAACCCAGGAATAAGCACAACTGGCACACAAAATGAATTTATACAAAAACCTCCATACTGTAAGGATAATATCATCAGGATATTAATGACTCTATGGCAGAAATTCATCACTGATATTTCCCCAGTATTTTCATTTAATTGTTAAGAGAGCAAAACAAGAGGAAAACCTATAGCACTTCTGTGATAATATTTTTCTGGCTATTACCTTCTACACATGAGCAGAGACAATCCAATACTCTGATCTAGCATAGCTATTTTAAAAAATAATAGAACAGATACAATCAACTCTAGAAAACCAATGATAACTTATTTAATGGATATCTGTAGTACGGAATGAAAATTAGTAGAAATGTTTTTACAAGCACTCATTTTATCAAGCTTATTCATATTTTAATTCTTTACCGTGGGTAGATGGGGAATGATTGAATAGAAATGTTGTGGTCCTGCTTCTTCTCCTCCAATGCACTGGCACTAACTAAATATTGATTAAAATCAATATTCATTATTCTGACGGCTTCCAAGTGAGCTGGCCAACATGGAATTTGAGAGTTACAGTGCCAATACACCTGGATGGCAGCAGATTAAAAAAAAATGGATTTCCTATATGTTCACATAGATCAATCAGTTAATTCTATTGGACATCTAAGATGTAACTACTCTGCTTTCCAGACCCAGCAAACTCGGCTCCATCTATTCTGGATGGGTTTGAACATCGTAAAGCCATGGCAGGACAGCAAGTGGAGCTGCCTTGCAAAGCATCTGGACACCCAGCACCAAAATATCGCTGGCTGAAGGACAATGTTCCCTGGGAACCTGATAGCCGATTCCGGCCAATGGTGACAGGCCTTCTGATAGAAAATACGCGTCCATCAGACTCAGGCAACTATGTGTGTGAAGTCTGGAACAGTTATGGTACAGCTGAAGTGATAGGCCGTTTGCATGTAAAACGTAAGTGTCTTCAGATTATTAGAATGCAATCATAATTCTCTTTAATGGAGTCACACCTGAAAGCATATGCTGCACTTATGTAGGCTCCCTGAATGACCAAGAACTTTCTATAGCTTCTTTGTTCTGAATTGTGTGGAGAACCTATATAGCAGATGCTCAGGGCACACATTTGCCTTCTAGTATTAAAGACATTTTCTACATAGCCCTCTTATAATATTTTTCATAAAGTATTTCAAATAGTTTATAAGAGCCTTTTAATTAGTTGCCTTCACTATGCAAAACTTCTGTGTTCATATAACACCACCTACCTACACTTTGTTATAACCAAACATTTGCCTATATAAAGAAAACAACTACTTTCATTATCTCCATTTCCAAACAGGAATATGGGGTTTGTGATAGATAGTATGTTTGTTTCAGACAGAGATTCATAGACCTTGCTAGCTCATTAAGAAGGCACAAAGGTTTGAATGTTAAAATTATCCTTGCATGATCTGCACATGAGTAAGATTATTAATATTTGCTTCTTTTAAAATATGTGATTTCTCCCAACTACAGTATCTAAAACCAGCCCCGAGATATCTGGTAAAAAAAACTAACTCAAGAACCGCCGAGCATGCTCAAAATAAAACCATGATTATACTCCACACAAGAGTATATTTCTGCATATGACTAATAAGATAGGCAAAAAGAAGAAGATTCTACAAACTAAAAATAGAGCAGCCATTTTCTGGGCTGTATCTTAATGCTCCATTGGCGGTAGGAGTTAGTTTTAAATATTTATTTGGTGCAGTGTGATTCTGTCTGGTTATCTTTATTAGGTTTTAGCTTAAATTCCATGACAGAATGGAGCAACCATTTCTGGTATTCATAAGAGGGGGAGAGGTGGCAATTCAAAGTCATTTCTTCTGAATCTGTGGCTGTAAATGTATAGATTTATGTATGCCATGCAGCTTGTTTTCTTTGTTATTCTCAATAATGTTGCTTTAAAAGTCACCTGTTGCCAATTTAGCTTACTCATGTGGTTAAGACTTGTCATGCTGCCATTTTCCTATAGAAGCCTAATTTGACCTACCATTACATCTTTCTGATGTAGAACATTGCTATTTTTTTTTTAAAAAAAGATTCCTTTCTTTCTTTTATAGCCTGTGTTGGTATTCAGTGAGTTAAACATTACTCTTTTGGTTTGCTCATTAGTGACCAAAATAAAATGACTGAATTTGATGCCTTCTTCCAGAGCCTCTAAAAGCCACCATCAGTCCTCGGAAAGTTAAGAGCAGTGTTGGCAGTCGAGTGTCCTTGTCCTGTAGTGTGTCTGGAACAGACGATCATGAACTCTTCTGGTATCGAAATGGAGAAATCATCAATACTGGCAATAATGTGAGAATCATTGGGGTCAATCATGAGACTCTTATTATGGACGGCATGTCCAAAAGTGATGGCGGAGCATACCAGTGTTTTGTACGCAAAGACAAGATGTCTGCACAAGACTATGTTCAAGTGGTGCTAGAAGGTCAGTCATTATTTTATGTATGTAAACAGTTAAAGTTAATTCAGGTCTGTCCTTTTCACAGTTTTCAAAAGACATCTTGAAATAATGTACATATATTTTAATAAAATATAAAATAGTTTTAAAGTATAAATTTCAAAAATATTTATTCAAAACATACAATTGTAGCACTCAGAAGAAAGGCCTTTTAAGAGATGTCTGAAACATGTCAAAGCTGATATGAGTTGAAATAGTGTCCGGACCGTGGCAGTGCATAGGTTACGGTATCATAGCCTACAGTTTCCTGGAATTCTTATTTCCTTATAAAATAAACTTCTTTTTCTACATCAAGTTGTTGATGTTTTTTTTTTTTTACTTTTTTATAAACTTTTTTTAACTGTTCTATAGAGGAATTATTGAGCCTGTCACCTGTACTTCGATAACTATCTGGTTTGATACAGCAACTACACAAGATAGGTATAGATTCCACCGGATAGTTAGAGCTACAGAAAAAACAATTGCAACCAGCCTGCCTTCCATTGAGGACCTGAATATTGTGCAAGTCAAAAGGAGGGCTGAGGAAATATCTACAGACCTCTCATATTCTGGACATTTCAACTCCTGTCTATTTACCCATGTTGTATGGTTGTAGTATTATTATCCTTCTCATCTTCTCAACTACCCCCTCTTATTGGTATCATATTATGATTATTATTACTCTGTTGCTTTGCATGTACATTGAGAGCTTCAGCACTTGAGACAAATTCCTTGTGTATCTAATCACATGTGGCCAAATAAAGCTATCCTATCCTATCCTATCCTATCCTATCCTATCCTATCCTATCCTATCCTATCCTATCCTATCCTATCCCATCCCATCCCATCCCATCCCATGTTATAGGGAAACAGAAAGTGCTGTTTTCCTATTTCTTTTCTTTGTTTTGCTTATGGGGTTTCTTATATTACTCTGCAGTTCTCTTGCCTTGTCGTATATCATGAGGAATTCCGTTTATATTGCCAGGGAGGTTGCAGGCTGCTGGATCAAACCAGTAAAAGATAAGACACTTGTATGTGCCCACCTTGTAACTAAGGTTAAATGATAGAAACCTTCATTCCATCCAATTTATTAAAATGTGTTTGGGTTTATGTTTGTTTGTTTTTGCTTTTTCCTCTCATTTGAAAAAGTGAAGTGAGCTGATTACATTTTGACTGATCATGTCTTGGGAACAAACAGTAGTTCAACTAGTTAAGATAATACCACCTGCCAAGGATGAAGTCTGGATAAAGGGTTTTGATCATCATTTTAAAAATGATGATCCAATTATATTATTTTGTGTTCTGTTTTAAATAGTCAGATAAACTTTCAAGGTAGAATGGATGGATAGTTGAGAAAATGACCAAATGAAAAAAAAGTTTGCTGATTTATTTATTTCACATTAGTTTTATACCCAAGATCTTTGATGGGGAATGACAGATAGACCAAAACAATCTCTTGCAGATTCTCAGTAGCTTGGTGCCAGCTCCCTAATACAAGAAATCACAATTCAGCAATTATATAATGATAGAAAGAATTACTGTCTTTGCTGATTATAGCCATATTCTATATGCGAATGGCAATGTAGTATGGAATAGATTGACAGAGTGCTGTAAAAGATTAGTGCCAATATGATAAGCCAACTAAGGTCAGTACCAACCAAATTTCTCTTCTCTAGATATTGTGGTTGCCTTCTTCTACTATTCCCTATTCAATTATATCTTGAAAAGAAAACCATCATCTTCCTAGCATTATTCCTGCAGGTACCCCTTTTCAAAACAGCTGTTGTCTTTATGTTCATCTCCAGGTGACTTCTTAGATGCTGTTCATAATTATTTAGTAGTAAGACCAACAACTATTTGTACAGAATTTGACAAATCAGGGTAACAATAACATGACAATTCATTAGTATCTATCCTTCAGAAACAAATTCTTGAATGCTATTTGTAATGCTTTTGAACAACCACCTTTTGACCCTATTAATAAATGTGTCCACTGCGTAAGAAGAAAAAAGTCCACACATGCTCTGCACATTTCATCCCAGGCATTATTTGAAACCATCGCAATCACCGAAAATTGCTGACACCATGTTCCCCCTAATAATCATGTGAAGAAAATAACAAATTTGTTTAGTGCTAATGAGGCTATAGTGCAAACACGGCATGAAAACTAATTTCAGAATAGTCACAGAAAAGACAGGAGATTACCTGTGTGGACCTAGTTACCTTGGCAACCATCTCCCATGACTAAGAAAGCCTTAAAGAGCATATTGATAATCTTTAATGATGTTGAGAGAGTGCAGGTTATCAGAGTACAACAGCAGGGGAGATTTCTAAGACATAGGTCTCCCTGGGAAAATAATGTCTGCTTTCATCTGCAAAAAGCCTGTCACTTGTATATATATATATATATATAAAAAGTGGAGAGCAAAGGAGCAGAGGGAGCACATTCTCTGATTTATTAGCTGTGTGTCAATTTCTCTTCAGGATAAAAAGCCTGTAGTGGTTTGTCTTCTGGGAAATGACAGTGCTAATGCACAGGGAAAGGATGGGAAGGGTTTGAGAAGAGGTGGAAGTCTCAGGCATGCAGCCCTTTTGGTCAAACATTTCCTCACTTATTCAGATAAGATTAAAAACTGGGAGTGCTACAGAAAAATAATTAATGGTTTGCTATAGAGTACTGAATGCCCCAGTTGACATCTTTATAGGTTTCATGCAGAAAATATTAGAATTCTGGAATCCCTTGTGAATCATGCGGCAATATAGAAGGGAAACTGTCACTGGCTTTCCCACCCTTGCCTGGATGTTCATTAAATGGCACTTACAGCTGAAAAACATTTCAGTGTGGCAAGATCTCTATGCCTGCTCTTAAACCAAGACAAAAAAAAAAAAAGAAAGTATAAGCACTTCCAATGATCCAGTCATTATTGCAGATCTGAGCTTGCAAAAAGTTTCATGCAAGGAGTGTGTATAAAGCACACCTTGAACTTGTTATATATGTTGTGACTGCTCATCTGTATTATACTTTTGATAGAATTAAACTGCAATTCCCATTGGAACAAAATGGTACAGTATTTTGAGAGCATTAGCTATTAGCAGTAGTAATAATAATGGTCATAGTGGTAATTTTAGTGATCCCCACAGAAATTTTAATGTATGAATCTGTCCTAATTCATTGTAATTATGGTTACAGTGAAAACCAAGCTTAGCCCATATGCAATTATTAATAAGGTCCTTTTTGCAGATTGTGAGCAATATTTGGCATGAGCTTTATGCATTCTTGGCCCTGGATTATTTTTAAATCTCCCTAAATATTGTGCTACCTAAAAGAGATAATATGAAATTATTCATTTATTAATTCCTTGTTAACATTATAATTCAAAGTTTCTGAAATACTTTTTTTTAAAATTTGAAAATATTTTTTTCACAATAAGCCAAAGAATCAAAATAGAGCAGGTCTTCTAGTCCAGCCCCTTGCTCAAGTAAGAGAACCCTATATCATTTCAGACAAGTGGTTCTCCAGTCTCTTCTTAAAAACCTTGAGTGATGAAGCATCCATAACGTCTGAAGGCAAGCTGTTCCATTGGTTAATAATCCTCACTATTAGAAAGTTTCTCCTTAATTCCGGGTTGCTTCGCTCCTTGATTAGTTTCCATCCATTGTTTCTTGTCTTGCCTTCTGGTGATTTGGAAAATAAATTGACCCTCTCCTCCTTATGGCATTCTCTCAAATATTGGAATACTGCTATCATGTCCCTCCTAGTCTTTCTTTTCTCTAAACTGGCCATTCCCAAATCCTGCAACTGTTCTTCATATGTTTTAGTCTCCAGGCCTTTAATCATCTTAATTGCTCTTCTTTGCACTTTTTCCCCCAAGTCTCAACATCTTTTTAGTAATTTGATGACCAAAAATGGTTACAGTATTCCAGATGTGGCCTTACTATGGTTTTATAAAGCAGTACTAATACTTCATGTGATTTGATTCTATGCGTCTGTTTATACAACCAAGGATTGTATTAGCTTTTTTGGCTGCTGCCGCACACTGCTGACTCATGTTTAAGTGATTGTCTACTAGGACTCCAAGGTCCCTCTCGCAGTTACTGTACTTGTACCTTTGGTTTTTTCCTGCCCACATTAAATATCATTTTGTTGGATAGGGCCCATTGTTCAAGTCTGTCAAGATCTTTTTTGGATTCTGAGCTTGTCTTCTGGAGTGTTGGCTATTCCTGCCAGCTTAGTGTCATCTATTCCCTCATCTAAGTCATTTATGAAGATATTAAAGAGTACCGGGCCTAAGACAGAACCTTGTGGTACCCCACTGCTTACCAGTGTAGTATCATTAAGGACTACTCATTGAGTACAGTTTGTCAGCCAGTTACAAATCCATATGGTGGTGATGTTGTCTATCCCACATTTTTCTATCTTACCAAGAAATAGATTGTGATCTACTTTATCAAGCACCTTGCTGAAGTCTAAATATACTATGTCCACAGAATTTCGCTGCTCTAATTTAGTCACTTTGTTGAAGAATGAAATAAGATTGGTTTGACATGATCTGTTTTTAACAAACCTGTGCTGGCTACTAGTTATAACTTTATTTGTTTCTAGATGTTCACAGATCTGTACACAAAGGGTTGCCTTCTTTCTAAAACACTGATCGACATGGTGGTATAAATAGCAGTGCAAACAGAATTTTAGCAAACTCTTGCAAATAGAATTTGTTCATATCTCATAATAATCTTTTACCCCTAAAGAATATGTGGCTATAATTATCATGAAAAAAGGAATCATGAGCTGGTCAACATGAGTTTTATTCTTTTGTTTGGAATGTCGCAGGAGGGGAAAATATCAAAGGTTTCCTTAAAATAACTAAACCAGTCCTAATTCCTAAATGCTGATGTGTCATCTATCTTTACTTCAGATAGGTTAGAGGTGTGTGTTTGATTGACAGGTGTTGCATACTAGATTCAATAAGAGAACACTGCAACTTTATATATTTACGTACACATGCCTGTTTAGATTAATGTCAGGGGTTAGAGCTCACAACTTTCTTGTAAGCCAATCACACATTGGTGCTAGTGGGAATTAAACAAGTTACGTTTGGGTGGAATTTTCATTTCATTTTACTGATTCATTGATTTTCAAAATTTCTCCATCAAGGACTGAAAATAGAAAATATGAGAAAGGCCATTTTAGCCATTAAATCCAGCCAGGGGCTCAGTGCATAAATACAAATTAAGCTATTTGAAAACAGCAAACACATGAAATGAAGAAGGGTTGCTATCAAAGTGCTACCATGATTAGCAAGTCCTTTAGATCCTTTTTTTTTGTCCGCATCTGAAAACAGGAATTTCTGATATTTTCTGCACTTCACCCTTCTCCAGGATTCTTCAAAGATAATATATAAAAATATATCATATTCATCAATATGTTCCTCAGTATTCCTGATGCAGTTCTTCTGTCCCCAAAGAATTTATTTATTTATTTATTATTAATTGTATTTATATCCCGCCCTTCTCCTTTCGGACTCAGGGCGGCTGACAAATGATAAAAAGCTAACATATTACACCTAGTTAAAATTTGATTAAAATGAAATATTTGAGAATGTCAAATTTAAAAGTAATTAAAACCCCTATAAAATCCCCTAGGCCAGTCCCGCTTGCTGGAACAACCACGTCTTGAGG